TGTAGGGCTCCCAAGTGCAGAACCGTGCGACCTTTGAGTCGGTGGCCCATTCCATGAAGTCGTCGATGTCGGAGAGATCCATCGGCCGGAGAGACACTTCCATCGGCGGTGGTGGGTGAGCGGCGGCGAGTAGAATTTCACCGGTGACGGATTCGATCGACGACGGATCATGGGTCTCCGATCTGGTCAAGGGATTGGTATCCATTTTTTGGGGACGAAGGGATTGAAATTTCGATTCTTTGTTATTGGTCTGAATGGGGGAGCTCCAGTTATATAAGCAAAGACAAAGGTGGGCGCCTCAAGCAGCTTGGAAGTTTCTCTTTTTAAAAAATCTTTCCAAAAAAAATGGGTCAAAGGTCAAAGCTGGTTGCGAAGAAATTTTATAAAATATTTAAGTTCTATTATAAATATGTGGACCTTCTAATTGTCCAATAAGATTAACTCCTTAATGATGAAGGTCTAATAAAAGACGGGGCCATAGTGGTGGATTTTGTGCGTACAAAACAAAATTTGGCTGATACTCTTACCAAGAGTGTGTCAAGGAACATGTTGCACAAAATGACAATAGGGATGGGTCTTGAGCCTATTGATTAAATCACAGTTAGAGGAATCTCAACTCAACGTCTAATACAACGTTAGATCTTGAGTTCAATGAGTTAAATCCTCTAATGTGTGGTTGTAGATGCTTAAAAGTGAATCATCCCGAGGTAAGCATCTTGGTATGCAACGTAAAGAGGTTGTTTATACTTAATGAATTCTTTGACAAAGTGCTTAGTTGCAGAGCACGATTTGAAAGAATTCACCTATGCAAGCATGAAGTGTGGCCGCTTCAAGATGTTGGAGGCTCGACATCTATGTGCTTGTGAAGGGGATATGGACACATGGCCGATATAGTGTCAAGGAGTACAAGAAATTGTATTGATTCTGTGTGTGTGTATACGCGGTAGCTCAACTAGGATTACGTAGGTTCAATCGTTTTCGACACCTACGGAATTCGAGTTTATTGTGGTATATTACACTAAGTGAAAGTTCAATCGTAAAGACACTTTCATTTATGCGCAGAATTGTGGAGATGAATGATTATTTGCTTGATATGCCATTGTTTAATTTACTCTAAAAATGGTGGAGGATTGTTGGTATTTTTAGAGTAAATGAATGGGAATTTAGAATCTCTCAAAAGGATTCATGTTTAACGTGTATTACAAGTATGGTGGAGGAGTTAAATGCTTGTAAAAGACGTGGTATGAATTGGCTAAGTGTTAGGGATACGTCGAAAGAGTTTACGTTCGGTTTTGAACGTGAAAGGTAATCTCAGAAAAAATGGGAGGGCAGCTCGAAAATATGAGCTGGCAGCCTATTTTTTCTGAGGAATAAAGCTCATAAATAAATGGGCGGTAGCTCGGGAAAACCGGGAGGGCAGCCTGTTTTTTCTGAGCAATTCAGAAATAAACGGGCGGGTAGCTCGACAAAACGGGCGGGCAGCCCGTTTTTTCTGAGCAGTTCGGATTGAGCGGAAAATCGCGACCGTTCGGGAAAAACTTCCGATTTCTTCACACCTTTCGACATTTGGAGTGTTGATTAACACCCCTGGACATCCTAACACAATGGATAACAGATCTAATTCGTTATTTTGAGAGATTTGAGAGCACTTTGTGGTTGTTCTTGCAAAACACCCACAAAAGCTTTTTGTTCATCTTCTTCTTGCGATTTCTGGTGTTTGTGTTCTTAGTAGAGCAAACTAAGATCACTTCTCTCTTCATTGTATCTCAAAGACGTATTCCGGAAAGTCCTTTGCTCGTATAGGACGGAATAACGTTTTTAGGAAAGTGTATCACGCCTTGAAGAGTTATCCGGTTCCTATTTCCTTTTTTGTTATTGTTCTTCTTTTTATATCCCAGTTTTCTAACATGGTCTGCATCTAAAGAATCTACTCCAAGGGTCTGTTATTTAATTATCGTACCTATAAACTTACGTGAATAAAAATAAACAAAGAAATGAAACAAATGAATATATTAAAAAGATCCACCTTTGCACATGAAAGCGTGCACATATATAAATATACGCAAGCACCTTAACTGTTTTTTTTTTATATATAGCGCATATTCTACGTCCAGGACATTGAGTGTTATTCTATTTTTACTATAAAGTTTTTTTTATTAAAAAATGTTTTTGCACAAGTATTTTCGTATGATCTATACACATGTATGCACATACATATGAACTTCTTCTACGCGAATATTGCAAGTCTGATATATCTAAACAACTTTCTATGTAATGAAGCCAAACATATTGATACAGCCCGACAATATTTTTTTTAATTGTTAACCAATATGGTTACCCGGGTCTTCGGTCCGACTATATCCATTCTAGGGCCGTAAGCAGTTTTTAGAGGTCCGGCGACAGGGGTCCAGTTCAGAGAGCAACACCCTCCCAACCGAGAAATTAACCCCATGCCTTCCCAAACAGCTGGAATCGAATGGTCGACCAGGGGTCCAGAGAACAACACCCCGGACAAGAGATGACCACTCGCCCACTACTTACGGGTAACCCCGACAATACGACAATATTAATAACGTGTCAATATATAAGAGAAAATATGGATGTACGACTGTATCAACATAAGTATAATTTGTACACCATTCACTATAACTCGTGGTATAAAAAAAAATAAAAAATGATAAAAAAAATTTAGACCATGTTCTCCTCTCGCATATAAGTGGGAGTGAATAGCAAAAAATAAATAAAAAATGAAAAAGGTTAGCACGGAAATTACATTTTGTTTCTAACTGGACAATATTTTTTTTATAATCCGGAAATTTATCGAATCTTTGGCCCGACTACATCTCCTAGAGAAATGGGGAAGTCCAGCTAAATACCCCTCCCTACGCTTGGATTTGGCCCGACTACATCTCCCAGAGCATGCTTTGCATGTTCTTTTACCACTAGATCACCCAAACTTGGATCTAACTAGATAATGTTACATCACCACACGCGTCACATATTGTATCTACACATATATGTATATATACACGTACGTATTGCATGGTTCGTCGAACACCCACAAGAAGATCAAGAGAACCCACGAAAATCTACAAGAAAATCTTGATATATATATAGGGTTTAAGAAAATAAATAATATGAGGAAAGACATTGAGACAGGGAAGCTGGAGTGGAAGATAAATGCGGGAGACGGGACATCAGAGAGACTAGTTCCTGAAAGTTGGGGACTGAACGGAAGAGCTGCTGTCTGGTTAAAGGGACTGGTGAAGAGAATGGTGGTATCTATGGAGAAAGCATGGAGGATTGGAGCAGAAGAGCCGAGGAAAGTGGTTCACTGTCTGAAAGTGGGACTGGCACTTTCACTTGTCTCCGTCTTCTATTACATGAGACCTTTGTATGAAGGTGTTGGAGGGAACTCCCTGTGGATTGTTATGACCGTTGTCGTTGTCTTCGAGCCCAATGTCGGTACGTTGAATTAATAAAATTTCACCACATGTAAAATCTCTAACCATAAAAATGTCAACTTTAATAAGATGTGTGTGTGTGTGTTTTTCCCCCATTGTTATGAAGGAGCGACATTCTCCAAATGCATAAACAGAATGGTGGCAACATTTCTAGCAGGGTCTCTCGCCATTGGTGTCCATTTTGTGGCGGCTCAGTCAGG